TGTACCATATCATCTGAAGAATAGCAGGGAGACCATAACTCAAGCAGTGTACCATATCTTCTGAAGAATAGCAGGTTGCAGTCCTCCTCGCCCCCACGAATAACCAGGACCCACCGGTCGGGTCAAGTGGCACCCAGACGTGGGGCTCAAGGCACGGACCCATCCGGACGGACCCTCATTGAGAGGATGTGCGCACGACATCAAGATTGAGCAAGACAGAGATCATCGCCCGTGACCTGTCGTCCACGGAACCAGGTTGATGCTGCCATCAAGAAGGCAGTTGAAGTTCATTACCATCAGCTGAAAATTGCAGAGAATCCAGAAGTGACTCCGCAGGAGACTGACACAGCTGTCAGCTCCCCTGCCTCCCCCTACGGTCTACCCCTAGACTTCCATGCCCTCCAGAAGGGTTCCTGGTATGCCTGGCTTTGCCCTCATTTCTCTCGCTAGAGAGCTTGGCCTCTTGATCACCACAACAAAAATTGGCTTTTTCCTAAACCAAGGCCACCCTTGATATGGCCGCTAACATTGGGGAGCCTTCCTTTATGACAATATTACACCCCAAACTGACAAATGGTTGGTAACTTGAACATTTACAAGAGACTAGGATGGCTGTGAGTTAGCCCAATGACGGGATTATTGTAGGTCCACTTCCCAGGGGCCCACCCAATGCAGCCGAAAAGGAGTGCGTGGTGCTGGGAGTGGGTGCAGCCTACATGGCCTAAGACAGGGCCCTCACCCTCCTTTCACCCACATCAGAGTCCCTTGACGTTGCCCATCGTCGACAGCCTAAAGCCTTCGACCATCGATGTGACTCGTCTCACATCAGTGTTTTGGGGTTGTGAACTTGTCTAAGACCCCCCATAATTAGACATCCAAATTCAAAACTCACATAGTTGGGATTGAACAAAAGACGCCTTCTCTAACTAAACAGAGAAGGGGGAGATGCCAGAAGCCAGGACCCTCGCCCTTACCCTTACCCCCTACCTTTCCCCACCTGCACAATGTCCTCTGAAGCTTGGCAACTGCAAGATCCTGCTTAGCAACTGCATATAGACTCAAAGCAGAGTACCATGTCTTCTTAAGAATAGCAGGGAGACCATAACTCAAGCAGTGTACCATATCTTCTGAAGAACTGCAGGTAGATCATAATTCAAGGCAGTGTACCATATAGACCATGACATGTTTCAAGGCACAGGCCAAGAAGATTTTGTACTTTTCCACCACCTGGACCCTCTTACCCCCTCCCCTTGTAAAACATGCTATAAAAAAGCATTTCATGTTCAAAAAAAAAGAAATTAATAAAAAAAAATACAATAAAAAAAAAAAGAAATGTTGCTTTAATCGACATTTACAAAGACAAAAACAGAGAAGCCATCTGGTTTAGATTGTTTTCATGCTCATCACCCTTCTGCAAGCCAACAGTTAAGAAAAGGGTCACATCACTAGCTTGTGGTGCTGGCGGCTCCATGCAAAGGCAGGCAGGCGGGAGGTGCTTCATCCTTTAGGATGTGCTCATGTGCAGTACCTCCTGAGACCAAAGGTGGAGAGTGGTCCATGTTAAAGACTATTACAGGAAGGACAGCTCTTCGTTTGCCTGGGAACCTGAAAACCAGTATGACCACCAGCCTGCTCTGGTCTCATAATGTTAGAAGATTTTATTTTGGAAGCAACAAAACTTTCTTAAGGTGATAATAAAATTGTATAGGATGCTAAGTGAAATACAATCATCTACCCTGAGACCTTGGCAATGGACTTATGAGGCACCACTAACAAACCTCAGAAGACAGCAACAGTTTTGCAGCTTTAAAAAAAAAAGGTTTTAAAATGATAAATGGGGCCAGGGAAATGGCTCAGTGAGTATAGGAATGTGCCACCAAGCCTGACAACGTTTGATTTGGGGATCCACACAGTAAAATCCACTTTTGCATATTGTCTTCTGACCTCCACATCCACATTATGGCGTAAAACCCAAATAAATGTAATTTTTTAAAAAAATTAAAAAACAAGAAGACAATACCAAAACTGATAAGAAAGAAAAGTGTTATTACCTACTCGCAAATAGATTGACTATAGTTTCTTAAACTTGCTCCTACCCTCACTCCTCCCTTTCTTTTTTCTTTTCTCTTCTTTCTCTTTCTTTCTTTCTTTCTTTCTTTCTTTCTTTCTTTCTTTCTTCCTTCCTTCCTTCCTTCCTTTCTTTTTTTTTTTTTTTACATAGGATTTCTGTGTGTAGCCCTAGCTGTTCAGGAATTCACGATGTAGACCAGGCTGACTTGAAACTCACAGAGATCTGCCTGTCTTGCCAGGGATTAAAGATGTATGCCACATCACCATGCCTTTAATAAAGTGGCTTATTTTTAATGGAAACCAATTGAAGAGCTATGATGATACTCATGTCTCCTGCTTTGGGAACTTTATCCCAAGGAAAGCATTCAAAAAATGACAATATTATCTGCATCAGGCTGTTTACTGTTGAATTATTTTAATACTCAGTATCTTCAAAGATCTTTTAGAAAAACGAGCAATGTAAAAGGCATAAAATATGCAGCTTTGAATTCAGCTATCTGAGAAAAGTGCAGACTATTTTGCAGCATTTAAAACCTATGCCAGGCATGTGTAAGACCTGCACAGGTTCAAGCAAGACAGGCTCCCAGTACTGATAGCAGAAGCGGATATGGGCTCCCACTCTTAACCAAAACCTATTGGCAACAGATACCTGCTCATAAGGGAAAATCATTTTTCTCCAGTGGAATGTCACCAGGCATATAAAACACAGTCCAGGGTAGGCCCAATGCCCGGGATTTGTTGCCCCACACAAAATGAATTTCATGGCTTTTTTTGTATATGGACTTTGGATTTTATTGTTTTGTTTAATGCATTGTTTTGTCTTATTGGTCTTTTGCCTATTTGTTTTAGCTTTCCTTTTTGGGAGGTTTTCTTTTGTTTATTTTTAAGATTGGGGGTGAGGTGGGGAGGGAGAGAAAGAACAAAAAGGTGTGCACTTAGTCGCTGGGGAGGATCTGAGAGAAGCTTGGAGAAGGGGAAACATGCTCAAAATAGACCCTATGAAAAACGCTTGTAAATTTTAAAAAGATAAGTTAAAACAATTAAAATAGCCAGAAAATGGTGGCACATGCCTTTAGTCCCAGCACCCAGGAGGTAGATGCAGGCAGATCTCTGTGAGTTTAAGGCCAGCCTGGTCTAGAGAGCAAGTTCCAGGACAGTCAGTGCTGTTATACAGAGATCCCATCTCAAACAAAACAAAAGAAAAGAAAACAACAAACAAAAATAAGAACTATGCCAGGCTTGGAGCACAGCTCAGTGGGAGAGCACTTGTCGAGCTTGTGTAGATCCCTGGGTTCACTTTCTAGGACTGAAAGCAAACCAGCAAAGAAATTCTATAACAAGCGAATAAGTATATAAGAATAGAGAACAGAAGGAACAAATGGAAATAGAACACAAAAGCTTCATGTTTTAACAGGAATTTTTTTTTTTTACATTTACTTAGTACATGTGGAGGGGGCACTGCAGTGTATGCGTGGTGGCCAGAGGACAATTTGCAAGAGGGGATTCTTGCTTTGCCTTCTACCATGTGGGGTCCAAGGCTGGAACTCAGGTCATTAGGTTTGGTGGTAAGTGCCTTTACCCCCTAAGCCATCTCCCTGACCCCCTCACACTGATATTTTAGGTGATATTACTTAAATGAGTTAGTTAATCATGAATCTGAATTAGAATAGTGGGGACATATTAAACACTACTACCAGATCTGATTCTCCTAATTGCTCAAGGACACTAATTGGTTTTCAATATAAACCACACTAATATTTGCAGGTCCAAGCCCCTGGTTATGTCTTTCCTTTTATGTTAAGGATTGCTACAGATGTACATGTAACAAAGTCGCTGCAGAGACACCGAGAACGGGCCAGTGAGATGGCTCAGAGGGTGAAGGCACACAGAGGGTGAGCCTGACACCTGGGTTCACAATGTGGAACCCACATGGTGGAAAGAGAGAATGGGTCCTCATGTTGTCTTCAGACTTCCATACAGGTGCTGTGGCAAGTATGCACTCAAGCATGTCTACATGCACACAGCAATTGAATACATTTTAAAAAATATTTTTAGTTCTATTAGTTCATTGTTTTTATCAATAATACTAATTTGTCATAGTTATATAAATAATATAAATTAATTAAAGTATACATTTATATAAATAATATAAATTAATTAATGACATTAATTAACTTTAAGTAAACAAAAACAAACAAACAAACAAACAAGTATTAAAAATTAAAAGCACACCAGGACGTCTTCCCGTCTCCGGCTCTCCTACCTGTACTGCAAGGCCAGCCTCAGGGCTGTGGCGTTGGATTCATACTTCCCCACCAGCATGCTCATCCTCTCGGCGTTGCTTTTACATTCCTCCAAGGTTATGGTGAGAAGATCATTTTGGGATTTGAGGTGTTCAATGCGACTACAAAAGAAAGACACATTGATTTTATTCGCTAGAACTATGTGGTCCGGTATTTCACTTGTCTCACTCACAAGTAGTCCAGATGGTCATGGTAAGATAATACGGCAGGCAGAGGATCAGCAAATAAAGTGCTTGCCATGCAAGCCTGAGAACCTGTGTGTAGATCCCCGCACAGGCATGGTGGCGTGCACCTGTAATTCTAGTGATGTGGATTGGGGGGCCAGAGTCAGGCAGCTTCCTGGAGATTGCTAGCCAGCCAGCCTGGTGAGCTTGGGGTTTGCTAAGAGGCCCTGTCTCAAAAACTAAGGTGAAGAGCAATGGAGAAAGACATTTAATGTCAACTTCTCACTTCTACATACATGCACGGGTGAGTACACACATGAATACATACATATGCCACAGACAAACACACACAGAGAGATGCATACATATAACATGTGATATGGGAGGCTGAAGACACAGCTCAGCAAAGTGAAATGCTTGTGACAAAAGCACTAGGAGATGAGTTCAATCCCCTGCAACCACTTAAGAGCCAGGCAACGTGGCACTATCTATAATCCCAGCACTAGGAAGGCAAAAGGATGGATCTGTGGGGTTTGCTCACCAGACAGCCTAGCCAAATTGGCTCCAGATTCAGGTAAGAGACCCTGCCTCATGAAAAGAAGGTGGAGAATGACTGAGAAAGGCGCTTGGTGTTTATTTTTCTTCCACAGATACACAGATGTACATGGATTCATATACGCAAGACACCCATGCGGTGACAATAATGATATGGCATTGTTGGGCATTTTAGCAAGTATAACAGACACAGAACAAGTAAAAATAATCATTGAATTCAGTGTGAAGCAAAAATAAAAACACAGGGCTGAATGTCATGATGTTCATCCTTAATCTCAGAACTCAGGAGTCGGGCAAATCTCTTTCAGTTTGAGTGGGTTTCAGGACAGCCACAGCTATGTAGAGAGACCCTGACTCAGAAAACAAAAGACAGTAACCACAAAGAAATTAGATTCTGGTATCCAGTTATACTTCATCCATGCCATGTGCCTGTACTGTGTGAGCCCATGAGTCTATAGTAACAAAAGCAACAGCTTTGGTACCCTGTAACTCTGCAGAGTAACTACAACTATGCTGCAACAAGCCACATTGCATGGGGCAAGACACCACACCATGGTCATAATGGCTGCTCTGTGCTGAGCTTTTGCTGGGTCATCTACCAGTAGCCTGCCCAATCATGTATGATCAAACCTGTTACCCAGGTAAGAAGATGCATTCAGATATTGAAAGGTCAAGTTTCCTTGACTTGGAATGTAATCAGGCTGGTCAACCTAGATCCTGTACTCTTAACCACACACCACAGAGCACTAGCAAAAGGTGAATTTGTGAACAATCAGGAATATTCTACTAGGTTGTCCCTAAGTAGGAAATGGACCCAGAGACCTATGATCATGTCCAAAGAGCCTTCTAAGCTGGATGTCCAGCAACACCAGTGACTGGTACAACCAGCAGTAAAAACTTTTCAGTTCTTTAAAATTAGATCTAGAACTGTATATTCAAAACAATGACTTTGAGGAAAAGTAGAAAATAAACCTAGACCCTTCAGCTTCTCCATTTTCTGTCCTAAGACATTGAGTGTGATCCTTCATTTCCCACAGAGCACACTCTTTCACAGTCTTCATAGAAGCAAGTCTTCAAGAGATAGTCAATTGACTCCTGAGGGTGATGATGGCCTGATGAAGCCACCATCCTTGAGCATAAATCTTAGGGCAGAGTGGAGTTGCCTATATGGAACATATCTGTTGGAAGTGTAATGAAGACTTCTATGGGGCACAGCAAGTGAAGTGTTAGAAGCACACACTTTCTGCTTCTGCTCATTTTGGATTTTCCAATAGTCCCCACTCTCTGACTTGTAATTCCAGTGTAGTATAATTCCTAGCTAATTGGAAGCCATTTATCCCACTTACTGACCAACATGTGGCTGAGTCTAAACCATCCCTGCCAGAAACACTTCCTTGCTCAGGTCAGGATACACCCTGCTGGTGGTCTTCTGAATATAAAGGCTGTGAGGGTTGGTGTTTCCTCTGGCTCAGGCTTGGGATGGGGGGGTCCCCCTCTTCTGCCAACACTCTCCCTAGGGGTGCTTCTATCCAGTCTGTGACTCTGTTTCCATGGCTCCCCATCTTTTCTAGCACACACCACCCTCTGAGTGCCAGTCCCACACGTCAGCTGCCTCCTGGCATTCCCATTAGGGGTCACACACTGCCTCCAACTAACAATGATGGGGAGCTCAATTGTCTTCAACCTGCTCTTCCTCATCTTACCCTCTTGGTGGTCACCTCTGGCTGCCATGCTCCTAGCATCACAGGCTAGCATGGGAGCATCTCAGAGCCTCTCCTTACAGCCAGACCTAACGTGGCTGAGGCTTCCCTTATTCTGAATGCATTATGTGCCATGGCTCCTAGCCCATCACAGTCATCTCTCTGCTCCCACTCTTTCTATCCTTTACCTCGAAGCTCCAGAAGGCATAACAGGTTTTGTTCTTCCCGTTGAAAATGCCTTCTAACTATATTTAGGCTAAAGAGTAAAATCTGCCATAGAATCCGATTCTGCATTTATGCCAGCCCTGCCTGGTGGTCCTCCTGCTTCCTGTGCATCCTCCAGGGTCCCGCCCTACCTCAGTCCCACTGGCCTTTGTATGGCTCCTCTTTCACACCACTTTTATCCAGCCCAGAATTAAGACTCTTCCAACCTTGTCACAGTTGTTCTTTCTCCTTAAAACTTCATAATAAGCCTCTCCTATTTAGAGACATCTCCATGGACCGCTACTTATCAGGGAGAAACCCTCATGCAAGGGATACAGCTCAGTGGTAGAACGGCTGGACAGCTTGTATAAGGCCCTAGCTTTCTCCTCCAGCATCCAACGTAACAATAACAAATACATTACTTGATTCTTTCAGGGTCCAGATTATTCTCCCTTGATGTTTCCTCTGTTGTGTTCCTTCTACATTTCCTAACAGATCATATGCTTCATGAGATTAGGATCCTTCTCTGTTTTTCATGCCACATACTCTAGCACACAGTAGGTGCTTAACACAGATGTGCAACATGAGTAAGTACAGTTTTGTGTCAGTACTTTTCCCTACCCCAAGGAAATCTGAGTCAAAGACTAGCCTTATTTTTTTTTAAGTAATAGTCCTTTAATGTTGAAACAATAAAATAACAGTCATTAAGACAGTATTTCTAAGAAGCCCTAGGTTCTGACCACAGCTATGATCATAAAACAACAGGGTGAGGGCAAAGGGCAGGGTCTGGAATTTTGCCTGTTAAATAACTGCACTGGACTTCATCTCTCAACTTTCCACTTCAAAGCCTTTGTTTTCTCATTGCAGACGGAGACTAGCCTAATCCTCACAAGTTGAACATTAAGACATTTTCTGTGAGCATCCATTGTGTGATGCTAGACACATAACCTGCATTTTGAGTACTAAATAATGTCCCTTCTTTGTTCTCTCCTGGGTGCAGATAACTGTGAAGAAAGGTGCCTTCTCCAAGTTCAGCAACAAAGCAGACCTTTGAAATCCCAGAGAAGAGATCTTTAGCTGAAGGGAGGGTTCCTGAAGGCATATGGCTTCATTCAATTGCAAAGGGCATATCTGATTCAGGTCTAAGCCTGGGAAGGCCAGTGGAGAAAACGGTTTTTGCTTTGTTGTTATGAGGTAATCAGGATTGGCATTCTAAATGACTGTAGATTTAACAAGGAAAACTTTTAATTTCAAGATTTAAAAGTATTTAATGGGCCTAGAGAGATGGCTCAGCAGTTAAAAGCGTATGCTTTTCTTGCAGAGGATCCAAGTTCAATTCTCAGAACCTATGCTGGGCAGCCTCTTAAATTCTAGTTTCAGGGAGATCTTATGCCTCTGGCCTCCACAGGCAGTCCTGTGTCCATACCCACACAGACGGAGAGTCTTTTAAAAACAGTAAACCTTGAGATGACCTAGATTACCACATTTCCTTTGTTCTCAAAAACTAAAACAGCTTCATATCAGGGAGGAGTAACATGCTAGTCTGATTTATTCTACTTTGCCACACACAAGAGGAATGGAATTAAGCAATGGTAGACGGGAATTAGTGCTCACATTCCTTCTTGATTAGCTCATGAGCCGTCCAAGCTCTTCCTGTGCTCTCCCTGAAGACTGCTAAGTCAAGGCAACCACACCATTCTTGGAAACTGTTCAAGGGGCCATTGTGTTATCATGGAACAGAGTCTGAGTCACGGTCAGCGAGTTTGGCTGTGGACCTTCTTTGCTTTTGAAGCAGTTCCCTCATCACTAAGAGTACACTAAGCTTGTCTTTACCAAGGAGCAGGAGTGCATACTACATCTGTCTATATCAAGAGGATGGGCAAGAATTTATAAAGCTGGTAAATGGTAAACGTCTCCCATTAGGATGGACCTAGGGTCTCAGGCTTGTGCACATGAGCAGAGTGCATAAAGGAATGCAGACAACCCTCAGAAAAAGCAGCAAATTAGACCAACATGTGGGGCCAATGCCAAGAACAACGGCTCCAGCACACTGCTTTTGCTACTTCTGGCAAACACAAGCACCCCCTGACACTGACTCAACATTCCAGGACTTCCCACTGTGACTCTCCTCAGCACTGGCCCGCACATTTGGCAGCCATCTATGACCTACTTGACATTCTCTGTGGATTGCTCCCAGAACTCCCTATGTACTTTTCAAGGTCCATCCAGCACGAATTGAGGAGGTGGGGCCAGGGGTCCTTGTTCATACATGATTAAGGATTAACAACAGTAATGGCACAGTCAGATTGCATCTGTTCGACCTTCCTACACACAAGGCCCTGTGTGAATGTCTGTCTCGGGCCTGTGAAGTTGACCCTGTCTACCATGAGCACGTCATGTCTCCATCTCAACCCTACCAGCCTGGTAATCTCACTCCAGGTCACAATTCACAAGCCAATTTGGATGATCCTTTAGAATAAGGGCCAGAAGCAGCTCCCACTCACACCCCCACCCCCCTCCAGTGAAATATGTCAGATTGCTTCTTTACCTATTCAGTCGTTCTGTTTCCACCTCAAACTCTCGAATCTTGCTTTCAGAGATGGCAGATCCGTGTGAGTAGAGGGTTTGGAAAATTTCCTGGATATTGGAGCAGTCCTGGAGTGAGTGGGCCAGGTGTTCTGCCACACTGCTGGAAACCTGTACCAATGAGCACAATTCCCCCCCAGAGATGTCAGGTCAGAAACACCATTCCCCAGGCATAGTCTGCACATGAGACAACTTAAAGCCAAGATTTATTAAGAATTTGGCACCAGCAGATGGTTATCCTTCTGAGTCTCATGGGTCTCAGTTGGTATAATTCTAGCATTAAAAAATGACTGTGACAGTGTTGTGTGAAACACAATCAGCTCACAGCTGCACCTCCTGAATAGCTCATGATGGGAAACAACAAGCCCACCAGCTCTCCTAGAGTCCTGAAAATTCACGACTTTAAATACGATCTGGAATTTCTTCTCCTATCTTGAACTACTGACACTCGACAGCCATAGTCTTGGGGGACTGTGGCCCAATAGAGATGTTGTCCCCTTTATCCTCACAGTTTGGGTTTGGCACAGAATCTGAATGCATGTGGTTTTTGCACAACGAAAAACTTTCAATTAGAAAATTAAAGTGAGGTTTTGGGTTGTTTGCCCTAGAATCAAAAAGCTAGCTCTCTCAGTTCCATGCCTAATCATAAAACACACTCCTTTTTTAAAAGTAATTTCAAGCAGGAATCTAAATCTTAGGCTAGAACAAAGAACTAATTTCAGGCAAGAATCTAAATCTTAGACTAGAACAAAGAAGTAATTTCAGATAGGAATCTAAATTTTAGGCTAGAACAAGGAAGTAGGCTTCAGACATGAAAATGACTTTGGGCTAGGACAGGGAAGTAGGTTCAGATATTTTGGTCATCCTGATAAGCCCTTAGAAACAGTGATCACAGGAGTGTTCATGAAATTTTGTTTATTGCCTTGCTTGTTCTTTGACTATTTGTGTTTATTGTCTTGCTTGTTCCTTGACTATTTGCATCTATTGTATTGCTAGACCCTCAACCTAGAAATGACCCTAATACTTGCATGTAATTAAAATGGTATAAAAGCAAAAAGGAGGAGGGGGGATGGGACAGGGGGTTTCTAGGGAGGGGAAATGGGGAAAGGGGATGACATCTGAAATGTAAATAAAAAATATCCAATACAAAAAAAAAAATCAAACATACTCCTTAAAGAACTGAAACTATAGGGCTGGAAAGATGGCCCAGTGGATAACAGCACTGTCTGCTCTTCCAAAGGTCCTGAGTTCAATTCCCAGCAACCACATGGTGGCTCACAAATGTCTATCCTGGGATCTGAAGCACTCTTCTGGCACACAGGCATACATACAGATAAAGTACACATATACATAAAATAAATAAATAAATCTTTGAAAAACAAAAAACAAAACAAAAACAATAAAAGAACTGAAACTACTCCATTGTCCCCTCACCAGCCTTCAGTCTTCCTCCCTGGAGGCGAGAGACGCTAGTATGAAGACTCACGCTGAACAGTTAGGTCCAGCCCATGCTCAGCTAGCTTTGGGCCTTACTTCCAAGGCCCATTCCCCTCTCCCTGGACAGTGTTCCCCTTCAAGTTGTATGTGCAAAGAGATCATTCTTTTGGAGTTTTGCAATACTCTAAGACTCTGTGAGGCACTGTGATATAAAGCAGGTACTTCAAAACATTCATGGGCATCACCAATAACTAACCAAATGTCATTTACTTTTTGGAAATGTTATTTACTTTTTCAAGTGTGTGAGGGGTGATCAGGGGGTGTATCTACCTTAAAGCTGAAGTAGCAATTCACCATTTAGAAACTTTATACATTTGACTTTGCCTCTGTGGAATGAAACCCTTATGATTTGTTATCCAATTCACTGACAAGTCGGAAGTAGACATCAACACTTGTGTCCTCTAGGAGCCTTGGTCTGGGTGGCTGTATAGGGCTCCTCTTTCCCTTGCTCATCACTGACACTCACCCCGATGCTACTGATTTCTGAGCCCAGGACTGGCCTATCAGACGATGAGGATTCTGATCTTGTCTTTGATAGTTTCACTCTCTCAGCAATCTTAAAATAAAAGAGAAATTTATCAGAAAGTTCACAACAGTCCCCTGCATAGACTGGAGCAATCCTTATGTGATTTTTAGCCCTGTCATCTAAAGTGATTCATCGAAACACTTCAAAAAGAATCCCCTGGCTCAATTCTGCTGCTGTAAACTTAAAATGGGGCTTCTTAATCTCAGCACAGTTGGGGCAGGCACCTCAGCTTGGTAGAATGAGCTATTGTGTAGCATCTCTAGCTTGTAGCCACCAGATGCCAGCAGCACTCCAGTTGTAACCATTCAAAATGTTCCTTAGGAGACTAAACTCATGCATGGTCAAGAAGCAATGGTTTCACCTAACTTACTAAACATAAAGGCTGAGAAACAGCTTCATTGTGGAGACTATTAGTGCTGGCAGGCAGGAAGACATCTGCCATTTGTACCATGTAACAGGGTCTTTTTAGGAAATTGTACAAAAGCACTGGCAGAGAACAAGTGGGAACAATGTATTTCTTTTCTTTTTTTTTTTCCTTTTATGACAGTGTCTCACTATGTACTCCTGAATGGCCTGGAACTCATCTTGATCCTCCTACCTCTGCCTCCTGGCTGGAATTACAGGCCTGCACCTCCAAGTTCAGCTCTGTGCTGTATTTCTTACGCTGGCACAGCTGTCATTCATCTGAGGGGGAACTCACTGTATCATCACTCAGGGTCCCCTAAGGGCTGATAGTTCCTTGAAAGCCAAGTACCCATCATCCACTGTGAGGTCGCACTTGACAAAACTCTCCACAATGGCTTGTCAGCTGTGACATTTTCCAGCAGGCTGATTAATGAGACCTGGTATACAGGTTGCGTCTAAGAGAGACTTAAACCTATTAGTGGGTTATCTCTCCCTGCAGCTTGATTTGGTAGAGTTGACACTCAGTCCCAGGGGAAGCCACTAGGAGATGTACTGGTATGCTTCACAACAGTGGACTCAGCCACAGCTGGGTTTTTTAGATAAGAAGTGTTCCGACTCTACCAGACTCATCCCGGGGAGCTTACCTTAGCGATGGGGATGTCATTGCTGCTACTGCTGGTGCTTAGCTCTCCAGTGCTGGGGTTAATTGGGCGATTGGCAGGGGTGAGGCGACCTGGGCTAGAAGGTCCAGTAGCCTGCACGCTCTGCAGCCGAGTTTGAAGCTCTCGTACCTGAAACAAATTTGTTTAGATGGAGTTGGTGGTTTCTCAGGTTAAACACCAAAACAGCCAGACAGCCTAAGGCAAAGTTTTCAACTGTGCTGCTCAGCTGGCCAAGTCCACTGAAGCTAGTGAATCTTTAAGTGGACTCACTCCTGACCAATCATCTGTTATTTACAATCAAGAAGGAGAATATGCAACCTAAGTATTGGAAGCTTCCAACACAGGAGAGAGGTATGCAAAAAAGCTGCAACTCAGATAAGGATATGATCTCTAGTCTTAGGAAATCCAGAGGCTGCACAGGAATAGAGAAGAAGAGTCTACACACACACACACACACACACACACACACACACACACACACGCATGCACACGCTAGAAACATCTGTCTCGAGTGCTCGAGTGCTCCAAGGCAGCAGAACTTGGGAAGACTGAACCTCCACCTGAAGCTACTCCAGAGAATATAAAGAGGTATATGGTAGGAGAACTGGGTTCCATAGGAGAACATGTCAGGGTGAGCTTGGTAGAGGCATGGCTGGGGTGGGGGTTGGGGGATGGGGAGGTAGAACTAACTGTGTGCACAGCATCTGAAGAATATGCAATACTGGACAAACTCTGAGTTTTTAGAAACAGGGCTTTAGGAAAGAGATGAGACCAAGCTGGAGTGACAGTGAAGGTACCAGTAGCTTTCCTCCAGGTAACCAAGGCTCAGAGCATCCCTGGTATGGTACAGAGAACATCTAAATAGTTAAAGCTTGAAAAAAAAGGAAAGCAAAAAAAAAAAAAAAAGAAGAAGAAGAAGAAAACAGGGCCCTGTGAATACATTTAAGACACAAGAGTGGAAGCTGGAGAGATGGGTCGCTATTAAGAGCCCTGCCTGCTCTTCCAAGAGACCAGAGCTCAATTTGAAGCACTTATATGGAGGCTTACAACTATCTGTAACTACAGTCCCAGGGGATCAGATGACCCATACACATAAAATTTAAAAAATAAAATGTCCTCTTAACACTACAATGAATATCTAAGTCTCAATTATCTATGGCTACTGCTCTGTGGCCACCAAGGGGAGAAACATCCCAGTAAATAGGGACAGTTGCAACCTTTATGATAACCGTGGACACACATTTAGCATCAGAGTACCAGGACTATTATGAAACTTGTTATGCAACCAAGATGACCTAGAACTTGTGAAGCGCCTGTCTTTACCTCTTGAATGCTAGAATTATGGGGAAGTACTACTAAGCCTAGTTTATTATGCTTCAGATTGACTGCAGTGCTCAAAAATTCATAAGACTGAAGCACCAGACACAGGCAGCCAGAAGGCACACCTGGACATTTAGAGCATGGCTTTCTAAACTTTATGGTATACCAGATCTACCTTTTCAAGGATAGTGAGAAACCAAGGAAGCAGAATCCCACCCCAGTCACTCAGATTTATCAGGGTTGTACAAAGCCAGAAATCACACATCTAATGAGCTGTCCAAAGGCCTGAATGCTGGTCAACAGGGAACCATACCTTGAGCAACTGACCCAAGGCTACAAAGCATTATATAAAACATCACAGACAGGCAGAGCAGAGCCCAACCCTATGCTAGCTCTTGATGCCATAGCCCTTCCAGGCAAGGGCAGAGAGCAGATACACAGCCCCCACTCTCCCCCTCTCTAAGAGCTTCTAGAAAGCTTTCATATTAAATGTCTGGGTTATCTCTACCCTGCTATCTTGGGAACCAAAAGTAATTGAAGTTTCAATAATTCATCAACATATTATAAGCCAAAATAGGGAAATTCCCTTGGAGCAAATTGCATTCAATAGGAAAGCAGATCAAAAGAGCTTAATGCTTTGCTGTGACTTCCAGGAGCTGGGAATTGCTAGAAATGCATAGTGTTCTCACAACACAACAGAATCAAGGGCAGCAATCAAAACATAACCAGACTGCAAAGACACATGCTTGCTGGAGTCAAACAGAATTCATGATGGGAGTTTATTCTGGAATACTCCCCGACAAACCAAAGTCAGTGTCAGTATGGAGGTTCATGAGGCCATGGAGCAGAGGGGGAGGGGGAGGGCCTGTGCTTCCACTATGTTCCCAGGCAGCTTCCCTGGTGGAGTCAATAAGGTTCTGAATAATTAACAAAGTTAACGTCACTGTAAAACTTACAACCAGTCTAAGCGGAGCAGGAAGCCATCAGTGGCCTGCTCCTAAATCACCAGTGAGTGTACTTGGTTCACTTGGTTAGGATTTTTTGAGTCAGGATCTTATTCCTTATTCCAGTCTTATCTTGGATCCTAAAGCAATTGCCCTGCCTCAGTTTCTTCAGCACGAAGATTCAGGCATAAACCAACCATAGTTGGCTTTTGAAAAATATAATTAGTTCTAGCAAATGTATTAAAGCATCATTTAAAATGTCCTGTGTTTTAGAAACATTTGTTCTTCTAATCACAAAGATGCTGAATGTTGACTGTGGAAAAGCTAAGTAGCACTGCAGGTTAAAACAGAAAAGGCTAGCGCGACCCTTCTAACTGCTCTCAGGCAATTGCTTCTAGGTATTTCCCGTGTGCATTCATGTAGTCCAGTAATTTCTAATCTATATATTCTCATTTTAAAAGCTATAGACCCTGTAAAAATTAAAGGATGATACCTTCCTTTTGGACTATGCCCTATTTTTAAATGACAGTGTTCATCAGTAGGAAAAAAAGCCAGCTGATGGGTCAGCTACATGGAAGGAAGGGCAGCTGCAGGGTTACCTGCCCATCTCCTATAGATGAGCCAATTCTAGAACTGAAGGCTATCCAATAAAAGAAGTCAGCTTAGACAAGGACCAGGAGGTAGGTAGACAGCCACTAGAAATTTCCTTTTCACTCCACCCGTGGGACTGGGTTGGATCAAGACAACCTCAACAGTAATGTCTCAATTCTCCATAATACCTCGGAATGCGATTATTTTGGAACAGTCTCTGTAGATGGGATGACACTACAGATCTGAGATCATCCTGGATTTAGAATAGGAACCACACAATGACTTGCTTCTTAAAAGGGGGTGTGTTGGGGGTGGGGGGCTGGAGACAGAGATATGAGACCATTGAAGGACACACGAAGATTAATTTAGAGAATGGCTGCAAATCAAGAGCTGTAAGATGCAGGAATTGAAAGACACACTAAAGGCTGCTCCTTTCTATCCTGTAGAAATGGTGTAGCCCTGCAGTGCACATCGTGATTTGGAATTCTTGGACCCAAGTAATATTAAAGAATAACATTTTTTAAAATCCTGTATTTATACTAATTACCTGATAAAACCTATCTTCTATTGAAGATTTTTTTTTTTATTATAGGAAATACGCCATTCGTTAAAACTGGGAGGAAGTCCAGGGTTGTGGCTGGTGCTAGTTTGAACTGCAGAAGGGATTTTAGTGGTATCTTTATTGTTTGCAGAAGCTATAGCAGGTGGAGTACAAGATTCATAGCCTGAACTGGCAGCAGGGGAAGAATCTGACCCTTGAGATTCATGAACCTTCATTTGTTTGCAAAGGGAGCTCAGATGTGTGTAGGACTTATCTCACACTTTACAGATAAAGGGTTTGTTGGAGGTGTGCACATGCATGTGCTTCTTGAGGTCGATGCTGTTGGCAAACTATCTGTCACAACCTTCAAATTCACATTTGAAAGGTTTCTCACCTGTGTGAATTCTCTTGTGGAGCTCTCAGAGAGGGCAAAAATCTTCCTGCATCCCAGGAAGGGACATGGGAAGGGTTTCTCGCTAGTGTGCACTCAGATATGGTTCACCAGTTTGTACTTCGCCTTGAAGGACTTGCCTTCGAGGTGACATTCCTCCCAATAGCAGATGTGGTTGTTCTGCTCTGGGCCCCCTACATGCTTTTTCTCTACATAATACTTTCTGTTATTGTTTTGTTTCTTTTGAAGAGGGATAGCCATGATTCAAAGTGTATCCAAAGGAAAACTGATATATCTAGGAAAGTTATGTATTACCTGACAACCCTTCTGAATTAGGTTCCTCAGCCCCAGCCTCTGACCCTGAGAGGCTACTTTCTTGATTAAACTCTACATAGCTAACACATATGCAGAGACATACAGAAATTGATCTGCTGCAAACCCCAAGACTCTGATAGTGTGTAATTTAAGGCTTTTGTCTTTCAAGGGCTGAGAATTTAGTAAACCGTGATGGAACTCTTCAATCAAAATGGAGTCCACAAGCAACATCAACTGTAGAAACGGTGTGTCTCCTTCACAACACAGGATGAAGACAGTGGACTCCTGCTTCTCTCTGGGTCTCATTTAAGGGTTTTGGGCCTGTTTTGTTTTACTAGGTTAACAGAAGGAAAAGAACAAAGAAGAAAGTAAGATGTTTACTGATGGTGTGGATGGGAAGGGATGGGGTTGCAAACAGTGAAGGGAGAATGAAGATGGCAAGACACTCCAGTACCCACTCAGAGGCATGGAGATAAGTCCCTTCCACATATGGATACCCTGGTGAAGTATGTCTGTATCTTCAGACAGAATTTGTTGTATTGATAGCAGTGTTCTATAACAGCCATGTCTACTCACCCTATAGATTACTACCAGATGCACAGGATTAGCCTGTACATTCTTGCAGTATGTCTAGTTTACCCAAGGAGATGAATTTTAAATTGTGTTTGACTGGAACTTATTTAGATTCAAACTTGAATAGTTGTTACTGTGCTGGTCACTACAGCTGTATAAATATTCAAGGAAATTAAACAGTTGCCCACACTTGAAGTTTGGTGATATCATAAGTCATAAGTCATGGTATTCCTCAATACAGTGGAAACAAACACACACAAACAGAGATGGGGGGGAGGATAGTGTCCCTCCCCATTCCCAACCTCCAGAAAGAATGATATCAACTTTGGACATATGAAATTTGAGGAAACTCCTGTCTGGTGTACTTAGAGAGTTCCAGGACAGCCAGGGCTGTGTAGAAAGAGCCTGACGAAAGAAAGAAAGAAAGAAAGAAAGAAAGAAAGAAAGAAAGAAA